TTGGCTATAGGGATATTTGGATATCTAGACTGAAGTTTGTTTTGATGGTGAGGAGTAGCTGAAAGGTTTTCATTCATTTCTTGATAATATCTAGATGAATGCTTAGTTTTGCAATAAGAAATTCTTATTCGCTTTCATGACTATTCTCCTATGAAGCTACTGCTGTTTTGCTGAAGTTCTCTGCCACACACGTGATGAAAGCGTTTGCCGAAAATGCCTTAGGACACATCTGAGTTTCCACAGTGATCATTCTTTGCAAAATTTCTGATGTGTGGACAGATGGCCTCGAGGCAATTATTTCCACTCGGCAATGGGAAGAAATAGTTCGCTGTATAGGGATATTCGGACATCTAGACAAAAGACGTTTGTTTTGACGTGAGGGTTAGCGGAAGCGTTTTCGTTCATTTCTTGATAATATCCAGATGAATGCTTAGTTTTGCAATAAGAAATTCTTGTTCGCTTTGCATGACTGTTCTCTTATGACGCTACTGCTGTTTTGTTGAAGCTCTCTGCCACACACGTGATGAAAGCGTTTGCCCAAAATGCCTTAGGACAGATCTGAGTTTCCACGGTGATCATTCTTTGCAAAATTTCTGATTTGTGGACAGATGGCTTCGGGGCAATTATCTTTCACTCGGCAATTGGCAGAAATAGTTGGCTGTAGGGATGTTTGGACGTCCAGATAAAATAAGCCTGTTTTTACAGTCTGGTATAGCAGCAGGAATTAAATTTATTTCATGATAATATCGAAATGAGTGCTTAGTTTTGCAATAAGAAATTCTTGTTCGCTTTGCATGACTGTTCTCTTATGACGCTACTGCTGTTTTGTTGAAGCTCTCTGCCACACACGTGATGAAAGCGTTTGCCCAAAATGCCTTAGGACACATCTGAGTTTCCACGGTGATCATTCTTTGCAAAATTTCTGATGTGTGGACAGATGGCTTTGTGGCGATTATCTTTCACTCGGCAATTGGCAGAAATAGTTGGCTGTAGGGATGTTTGGACATCCAGATAAAATAAGCCTGTTTTTACAGTCGGGGATAGCAGAAGGAATTAAATTTATTTCATGATAATATCGAAATGAGTGCTTAGTTTTGCAATAAGAAATTCTTATTCGCTTTCTTGACTGTTCTCTTATGACGCTACTGCTGTTTTGTTGAAGCTCTCTGCCACACAGGTGATGAAAGCGTTTGCCCCAAATGCCTTAGGAAGATCTGAGTTTCCACGGGATCATTCTTTGCAAAATTTCTGATGTGTGGACAGATGGCTTCGGGGCAATTATTTCACTCGGCACGTGGGAAGAAAGAAATAGTTGGCTGTAGGGATATTTGGATATCTAGACAAAAGACGTTGTTTTCACGGTGAGGACGTAGCGAAAGGTTTTTCATTATTTCTTGATAATATCTAATGAATTGCTCTAGTTTGCAATAAGAAATTCTTATTCGCTTTCCTGACTATTCTCTATGAAGCTACTGCTGTTTTGCTGAAGGTCTCTGCCACACACGTGATGACAGCGTTTGCTCGAAAATGCTTAGGACACATCTGAGGTTCCACAGTGATCATTCTTTGCAAAATTTTCTGATTTGTGGACAGATGGCTTCGGGGCGAATCATCTTTCACCGGCAATGGGCAGAAATAGTGGCTGTAGGGATGTTTGGACATCAGATAAATAAGCCGTTGTTTTCACGGTGAGGAGTAGCAAAAGGTTTTCATTTATTTCTTGATAATATTCAAATGAGTGCTTAGTTTTGCAATAAGAAATTCTTGTTCGCTTTGCATGACTGTTCTCTTATGACGCTACTGCTGTTTTGTGTAAGCTCTCTGCCACACACGTGATGAAAGCGTTTGCCCAAAATGCCTTAGGACACATCTGAGTTTCCACGGTGATCATTCTTTGCAAAATTTCTGATGTGTGGACAGATGGCTTCGGGGCAATTATCTTTCACTCGGCAAAGGGAAGAAATAGTTCGCTGTAGGGATATTCGGACATCTAGACAAAAGACGTTTGTTTCGACGTGAGGGTTAGCGGAAGCGTTTTCATTCATTTCTTGATAATATCCAAATGAATGCTTAGTTTTGCAATAAGAAATTCTTGTTCGCTTTGCATGACTTTTCTCTTATTACGCTACTGCTGTTTTGTTGAAGCTCTCTGCCACACATGTGATGAAAGCGTTTGCCCAAAATGCCTTAGGACACATCTGAGTTTCCACAGTGATCATTCTTTGCAAAATTTCTGATGTGTGGACAGATGGCTTCGTGGCGATTATCTTTCACTCAGCATTTGGCAGAAATAGTTGGCTGTAGGGATGTTCTAAGCTCTCTGCCACACATGTGATGAAAGCGTTTGCCCAGAATGGCTTAGGACACATCTGAGTTTCCACGGTGATCATTCTTTGCGAAATTTCTGATGTGGAAACAGATGGCTTCGGGGTGATTATCTTTCATTTGGCAGTGGAAAGAAGTAGTTGACTTTAGGGATATTTGGACTTCTAGACAAAATGTTTTTTATGACAGTCCGGGATAGCAGAAGGATTTTCATTTACACTTAAATCTCGTTTTAATATATTGGGACTTAACGTTAGTAATGTAATGTAAATAATGGATATAATGAAGTAAATGAAATTTTTTGAAAGCTCCGTTGAAAACCTTGCATTTTTATCCTCGTAACCATGCAAAATTGACAGGGATTTGAATAAAACGAACTGAATTAGTCTATCAAAAAAATTGACCTTAGTGTGTTAATCGCGTTTTCTGCTGAGTTTGATGCTCATTCGGCGTGGCTCTTTCAAAACTCCTGCGCCGACCTTACAGCCACGCCCCGTGCGGCCGAGAGCATTCTTTTTCACACAGCCAGCGGAGAAGAGTGAGGATGTGCTCAGCGGGTCACATGACGGAGAAGCGGCGCTGCGGTACAAAGCGATTTTCTTCTGAAGACTGCAATGACTGCGTCTCTGTTGCTAGCATGGCTGCTACCCTCTGCTCCCAGAAAGGACTCTCAGTGACAGCTTTCTTTTTCTCTCTCTCTCTCTCTCTCTTCTGTGCGGCCTTCAATATAAAGGAAAAGGGTCTCTACATGCACAGACAAAAAAGAGAAAAGCGTGGCACAGGCGTGTCGCAGATTGGCATTTGAGAAAGAGCAAACAATCTGCCGCGGTCTTTTCTTTCCCTCGCGCGAAGTGTTGAGAGGTGCTGCCGCAGGATTGGGGCATGGTGCTGAGAGCATTTTCAGGAAGCTGTATGTTCGAATTAACCGTCGCAAGTGCTTGCGTCAAATTACTGGGCGGTTTCGCCTATTGGAATACACGTAGTGCATGTTAGCATACATTGTCACAAACTGTTATAATCGACATAACGAAATAATGGATAAAGCGAAATAATTATGGCTCCCCTTCAAGTTCCTCAAAACAAGGTTTAAGTGTATTTCATGGTAATCTCCAAATGAGTGTTTATATGTGTTGACAAATGGCTTTGGGGAATTCGCTTTCACTCAGGAATGGGAAGAAATTGTTGGCTGTAGGGATATATAGACTTCTACACAAAATAAGTTTGTTTTTGATGGTCGGGAATAACAGAAGGGTTTTTATTTATTTTATGATTATCTTCAAATGAAAGCTTAGTTTTGCAATAACAAATTCTTGTTCGGTATGCATCACTGTTCTTCTATGCGACTACTGCTGTTTTGTTGAGGCTCTCTGTGGACGGATGGACAGGTGTGTGGACGGATGGCTTTTGGGTAACTAGTTTTTTCTAGGCGATAAGATAAAATTGCTGGGTGCTGCTTTCATTAGCCTTTCTTGTTTTGGTGTGCCTAGGTTTCGCAGTAGTTGGCTGCAAGTTTATTGGTTTGATTTGACATTGTTATTTTTGCAGTCTTCATAATATGTGTTGAAATGTTTTGAATATTCTTTTTTTTACCATTGTGATGAACTTGTTTGCACCCTGAAATAAGCCTAAAGGGGCCCTGGAAAACTTTTTGTGAGCATTGTAAGGAAGCGCCGATTGGTAGTAGAAGCTCCCGAGAACACAGGAGCCAAATAATGTAGCTCAGCACGCGGCCTGGAATTCACAATAAATTACCAAAGTCAGCTAAAAAATTGCTTTTTCCTCGGTCAAAAGTTACAGAAGACGCTCAAAAATTACGTCTAAGAGGCCACCTATTAGCCATTGGCTGATTTCAAGTCAGCGCACTCGGTTGTTACAAGGATCGCCGCGGGTGGCCGCGACTTCTTCACGCGTGCGCCCGCGAACACACAGAAAAAGCCCAATATTCCAGGGGAAAAAAAAAAAAAGAAAGGGTAAAAGTGTTCGTGGTCATGGGCCGCACGTGACGTATTTTCTTTTCACCTGCCATCCCTCCCTGCTTAGCCTCTAGCACTTCCGGAAGCCAGAATGATAGACGAGAGAATACCATTGCAGCGTGCGACAATTCTTCGTAACTCCGCTCGTACTAGATGGATTCCTAAAATTTTTGGGGCATTGAATTCGGAGGCAATAAGCTATTTTAGTGAATGCATTCCATGGTAATTTAAAAAGTGTTTCGCAACCTCTTCAATAAGTAAGCGTGAGAAGTGCATGGATAGCTTGGTTTAATATACGCTATACGTGGGGAAAGTCTTCAGTATAGAATAAGCGTGGAATGTAGTTTGCTTCTTACCTCATCTTGGAAGGAGTTTTGCCAGCATTTTGTTGTAGAAAACTAGTATTTTAGTACTGTAGCATCCTCTCTGCATAAAAAGGAGAACTGTATTTCGGAAGTTTTAAACACGAGAAATTGGTACATCATGTCTAGGACTTATTGCTAATTTTCGCGAGAGCACTAAGCTTGTGTGCTGAAGTCAATGTGCTGACCGCTTCGGATGCAGTTGCTACGCAAACGAATTAAAAGCCTCTGTCTAATGTGGGAGGAGCAGGTTGTTCTGCCATTAGCATGTGAACCAATGCATTGTTTGTCGCTGCTTGAGATGTAAACTGTGGTTTGTTGTTTATTTTGCCTCTTGCAGTGGCACAGTGGAAGACACGGAACTTGTGGATGGTCTGGTCTTCACTCAGAAGGTGGCAGGCAGTGGGGGCCCTCATCGCGTGGACAAGGCCAAGATAGGCCTGATCCAGTTCTGCATCTCTCCACCAAAGACAGATGTAAGCGCATTGCCTGGCAGTTTTCTGTTAAGTTCCAAAATAATGTTGAATGTATCCTAGAGCGCCGTAAGTTCTGCCAACCCATAGGCCTGGGTCGTACAGATGCAGCGCAGGTTTCTCATCAACTCCATATGTTTGTGCCTTTGCAAAAATGCGTTATGTGGCATTCAGTGGATTACATTGGAAGGGATGTGATGGAGGCATGTTGGTAGCAGATGTTTAGTGGGTTGTTCCTTTATAGCACACGTACAAGAGAGGACAAAAGAAAGGCACAACTTCACACGAAGGGTCAAAAAACGCTCACTTCCGACATGTTTATTCTCAGTGTTTTACGTGACCGTGTGGTGCAGATGGACCACCAGGTGATAGTGGGCGACTACACAGCAATGGACCGGGTGCTGCGGGAGGAGCGCGCCTACATTCTCAACATCATCAAGCAGATCAAGAAGGCCGGCTGTAACGTCCTGCTGGTGCAGAAGTCGATCCTCCGCGATGCCCTGAGCGACCTGGCACTCCACTTCCTTGCCAAGATGAAGATCCTTGTTGTCAAGGACATCGAACGGGAGGACATTGAGTTTGTGTGCCGGAGCCTGGGCTGCCGGCCCATCGCCTCGCTCGACCACTTTAATGCGGAAGCGCTGGGTTCGGCCGAGCTCGTCGAGGAGGTGACCACGGCCAGCTGCAAGTTCGTGCGTGTGACGGGTGTCGCCAACCCCGGTCGCACTGTCAGCATTCTTGTGCGTGGCTCCAACAAGCTGGTACTCGAGGAGGCCGAACGGTCGCTGCACGACGCCTTATGCGTGGTGCGCTGCCTTGTCAAGCGCAGGTAAATTGCTCGGCGTTGTCCTGGCCTACAGGCCAGATTTGTTGCGTGTTAATTGTTGCGTGTTAATTGTAACACTGGCGTGTTAATTGTAGGCATCTGGACGTGATCAGCAAAACTAATATGGCTTCGACTCACGGGATCGATCCTGACCGCGGCGTTCACGTTTCAGTGGAAGTGAAATAGTAGAGACTCGCGTACTGTGTGATGTCAGTGAGCATTGAAGAACACTGGAGGGTCAAAATTTCCGGAGCCCTCCGCCACAGCATCTCTCATAATCATGTCATGGTTTTGGGGCATAAAATCACAGATATTATTATTAATATTAGTATGGCTTCAACACTGACATACGGGAAGAAATGCAAGAATGGTTGCCATCTTGCTACTTGAAACTTTATCGAAAACACGTGAACTTGTGAGCCGTAAAAAATGATGGGCGAGGTTCCATTAAAGGTGGCACTGTGCTTGCTGACTGCTTCAATAGTTCTACAACAGTAGCTATATGCAGTCGATCCCGGAGACCCAATTTGAGCCCCGGAACTCATTTTTCCTGTACTTGCATAAGCCCCTGTGCCTTGGGTGGGTGGCATTCTAGGTCTTAGTAACGCAGCCATTCCTGTTTTAGCACTATAAAATCTAACATAACTAGTAAAGCAGTAGTTTCCTATGGTAATTTCCATAGTTTCCTATGGTAATTTCCATAGTTTCCTACAAAAGCTTGCTGGTAGGATGTTGGCTTTATTTGTTGGTGAGGACTGCGAGGATGATAGTAAACAGTAAATGCATCTGCCTAAACTTAATTTGTTTGGTTTACAGTGAGCTTTGTGTCTGCGAATAAAATGTCGCCTCAGGTTGCCCAATAAAAGAATGCCTTTTGTTTTCTCCATATTCTCAGAAAATTTAACGTGTCAAAAAAAAAAGGTAACGATACTTGTCTGCAGTATGACTAAGTTCCTAGAATAGTTGTTTTTAACGGTGATGTCTCAACACACAGTGACCGCACAGGGTGCCCCAGGGAAAAAAAAGGCTTGAGACCAATCCAGTCTCTGTAGCTCCACCGAAGACAAGGATATTAGTTGTAATAGTCAAGTACATGATGCGAGTACTGTTTAGCCAAGTCACAAAAGCTTATAACCTGTGAAGCCATGGTTCAGTGGCAAAAGGCTCACGGGCCATGTGTTTGGGACCCCTGCTGTAAACAGTTACGTTTCACGCCACCTGTGCAGGGCCCTCATAGCAGGTGGCGGTGCCCCCGAGATGGAGGTGTCGCTGCGGCTGGGTGAGCGGGCAGCGAACATTGCGGGGCCTGGAGGCCCACTGTGTGCGGGCTTTTGCCGAGGCCCTCGAGGTGGTGCCCTATACGCTGGCCGAGAACGCCGGCCTGCATCCAATCGCCACTGTCACCGAGCTTCGGAACAAGCACGCCGAGGGAGAACGCGATTCCGGCATCAATGTGCGCAAGGTGGGTCTCCTCTGGGAAAGGGCCTTGGGTGTTGCCATGAACAGACGCCTTGTTTGGTTTCCGCTGTGCACCTGCTTCCTCAAAGTATGCTGTTGATAGTTGCTTGCTAGATTAGTCGAACATCTGGTGTTATTGCTTCCCTGGTTTTAAGGGGAGATGCTCCTCGAAAAACCTTTTCTTCAGATATTTGTAACAGCTCAGGGAAACTTTCACCAGGTATAGAGTTCGAGCTCCTCTTTTCAACTCTTATTTTTTTATGGCTCAGTTAATTTTTGTAGACCATGCGTTTATAAAGACAATTCATTTTTGTGCAAGCTTAGGCAACAATGATAAGCACAAGAAAGCTCTAAAGAATAGTAAATGTGTCACCTAATGAATTGCAGAATTCAATAAAGCAAAGAAACATTGCGTAACATTTGTGTGCTTGCCTAGAAAAAAATTCTAATGCTGAATTTGAGTTTTGCCATGCTCAAGCAACAAGCTTCTGAAATTAGCTAGCTGAATATGCTTTGGAGACCTCTCAAAGTTGTTTATTTGAATTCATGGCATGTTAAACATTAAGCGTGCCAAGTTTCATTGCAATCCAACTACGTAAAGTGCACAAGTTATAGTGCACAAGCTCTAAAAATGCAGGAAAATGAACTGAGAAAAAGAGGTCTGAAAGTTCAAAACCATGTTTAATACTATACTCTTCAACCAATCTGCATGAAATTCACAGACGATGTCAGCAAAGCTATCTTGACAAAGTTGAGTTTCATAATAATTCAGCACTATATATTAGAGCCTTACAGTCTCTAGGTCCGTTCGATTCACCTGCACCACGTGAACCAGTTCACGAAGTGCTGAACCTTCCCATTCGTTTCAGCAATGCAGCACTGACAACTTCTGAACCCTGCCATTCGTTTCGAAAGGTGCAGAAGAGGTGCAGCACTGGTTCACGGTTTTCCTGCACCTCCTACGCTTACGGTGCCGGCTTGGTGCAGCCGCGCATGCAGCTGAGCAGACTATGCAGCACTTAGGTGTAGGCGCTGTGCCCGCCTCTATTAACGAGGTGTGTTTTGCCAAGGTTCTTGCATCTCGTAAACTGTCCACATGTGCGCTTCGCCATTGGTCAGTGTTAGCTAAACGGTGTAAATAAAGTGAATAGAAATAAGAAGGCATGCACCTTGTCGGCACATCGTCATTCGTTTCAGGTGTCGGGCTTTGCCTGCATCGCTGAATTTGTGCTGCACAATTTCTGAGCTACGCTTGCACAGCCGTGAACCAGTTCCACTTGTGTGGGTGAATCGAATGGACCTTCTGCAAGCTGCCTCCTTTTGACGGGCTGTTTTTTTTTTTTTTTTTTTTTTTTGGTACTGCAGCGATGAGCTGTTGCTCTTGGGCTCGTGCGAGCTTTTCGGTGGCGGTATGCTCTTTTTTTTTTTTTTTGCCAATGGCAGTTCTTGTAACGCACTGGTTTTTGAACACTAATGATTGCACAAAACCGCAGAAGCTGCTCGTGTCTGACGTTTTGTTGAGCGGCAGGAAAAAGCATGGCAGTCTTCCCGTCGGCCATCATGACAACACACGCACACCAAGAGCGAGCAAGACGCGCGCACGCGACACATGTGCCAGAACGCGCGGAACAGCTCTGGGCCTGTTTCTAGTTGGAAAACGAAACTAATTCGAGCCAGCGTGGCGGGCGTCGCGGAGCGGTGAAGACGGACGAAGCGGTTGTAATCAAGAGAGGAGAGCAGACTTGCGAGAGAAGGGCAAGGAGTTGCGATAAAGACAGGGGAGGTTGTGGTGGGAGGGCGACCTTGAAAACCAAAACACACGGGAAGGAGGCAGGTTGGGTAGCTTGCTTGAAAGGTCCGCGAAACTCCCACATAGAAATACTTGGAAAAAGTGCATGGCTGCCTGAATCGGCAGCTGTGGTCAAAAAATCGTTTTGTTGCGCCGGCGGGTTTGCGTGGCCTCATGAACTTCATATTTCGCGATTCGCTCTGCGCAAATTAACATTGCCGCTGTCTGTCTCCTTCTTTTTCTAGTCTCTCGTTATTGGCGCTGTTTTTTATGTGAATCATGTCGTACCAACTCGCCCAAGCAACCACGTTAGCAAATTAACAGCCATTTTCGCGCTTTCGCACGCGTGCGGGGAGCATGCTGAGCCGAGTGCGAATTGAGCGAGAACAAGTCCTAAACACGAAACGAATCGCAAATTATCAGAGTCGGTGGGGTAGTGTGCACTAGACGTAGACTATCAAATAAAGTAGGTGGCCGACGATGTTGGCAAATGGTCTGGTCACTCCAGGCTGGCGACACCAACAACAGTACCAGTGATCGAAAACAGGGTAGATGGCCGACCGGTCTTCGAAAGATCGGTGGCAGTGTTAAAACATGAGCCTCGTCTGGCAATGCGGAGGGCTCAGAGTAGCGAGGGGACATAAAACGGAGGGGTGCGTAACAAAAAGCGGTCGGGCAGAGCGGCAACTAGAGGGGCAAGGAGGGAGGGTCGGCGTTTAACAATAAAAATGTATGGGCACCTCGCTGATGCTGATCAGTGGTCGAAATGGGTTTCCTGTGAAGTCAGCAGACCGTCGACTCCGTTCGTTGTAAGTGCGATTTTGTGCCATTGAACCAATGTACATTTTCACGGTCACGCGGATATTGTTTGTTTTAAGCGAAAGTTCGTTTTAAGTGGGGTCGTTATATGTGGCCACGACTGTAAATGTGGTTTGCCAGTTTTGGGTTGTTTTCCTTTTTTTTTTTTTTCGGTTACCTGAACTTGGGGGGTCGTACCTATATTCCCACTCAACCTATAGTTCGGTTTATACGGTATTTGCTTCCACTTTTTGTGTCTCAAATAAATCTTGCCTTGTGTTGAACCTGATGCTTTTATTGTTGAAGTAAATTATAGTTAGTACTTATTCAAGTTTGTTTTATATAATTAGTACGTAAAGCTTGCTGTTAGGTAGTTGCTGGTGTGATAATCTCGATTTGCGGCCACTTTTTCTTTTTCGCTCCGTACGTTTTCGTGGAAAGTCTTCCCCGCGTAGTTCTCGTGCCCCTCCAACTTTGCATCGGTTTTCCTGCCAAAAAAGGTGCGAGGATTATGCTAGTAAATACGGTAATATTGTCGTTTTAGATCTTTGATACATTGAGCTTTCACTCTGACGTAAATTGTTATTTCACTTTAGTGTCCTTTTAACGGCAGGACGAACCAGAAATCGAGAACGCCATGGTGTGGTTACAACATTACGTTGGTTTCTTATCATGCACTCTCTCTGAAGAATAAAAGCTTTTCTTTATTCAACCTTTTCTTTTTTTTTACTGTAGTTCACATTCGTAAGTGCCCCTGCTAATCAGATTGATGGCACTCCCGTAAGAGCCGTAGACACTACCATTGAAAGTGTTGATCATTCATTGAAAGTGCCGCTGGTCCAATCGGCAGCAGTACTCCTAACAGTGACAGTGGCTCCATGGTAATTTGCTTCGGGAACAATCAATAACTGCTGAAAGAGCTTCTGTTTTTGATGTGTGCTCATTGTTCCTTTTTTTTTTTTTCTACAGCCTCATTCGGCTAATGGGTGAGAATTGCAAATCTACCCCAGCCCTCTGTCCTCCTATGTGCTTTGCATGTAGCGGACAGGTAATTCAATGTATCAGAGTTTTGTATATCTAGGATCGTACTGTATTTGCTTTGAAATATAAATTTAATGTTTGCTCATCCCAACATAAATGGCAATTTCGCAGGGTTCCGTGACCAACATCTTGGAGGAAAACGTGGTGCAGCCTCTGCTGGTGTCTGTGAGTGCCATCACTCTGGCTGCCGAGACTGTGCGCAGCATCCTCAAGATTGACGACATTGTCCAAACAATGCGCTGACATGGGACTACCACTGACACTGCATACAGCTTGGCAGTAGCTGGGCTCTGCCTCTTGTCTCTCACCAGAAGTCAAAATAAAAGCAACAGCACCTTGTGGCAGGCCCATCAACAAGGACAGGGCCTGGCTAAATAAAAGCTTCTGAACTATGTACTTGCCATGCCTGCTTTATGCACCTCCTAAAAGCAGCACTGCTTTCTTGGTGCATTTACAGCCATTTACTCATACAGTGCCTCCTGTTTAGATTAACAGCAAGCGTTGCTCATTTGTCATTGTTTTTTCAAATATATCGTCTCGTAATTGTTTTCCTAAGGAAAGGAAGGGGGGAGGTGTTGTATCGTTGATGTCATGCAAGCTGCTGGTTCAGTGGTAAGGAAATTTGTCTCCGGAAATGAGAGAGGACGTGGCACTTAAAGAATAAAAATCTGCTAAAAAATGGACTTATCAGCTGACAATTGTTTCTGACTCTATTGCACATCTATATGCAACTTTTCATAGCTGAATACCATTGTTGAATATCAAACACAGGAAAGAAGACTTGTCCACCCTGCCCTTTAAATCGAGAGTGAACAGCGAATCTTTTTTTTTTTTTTTCATGTCCTTCCTGTGATGGAGGAGCAATATTCTTTCTTCTAACTGGGTTATCTTTTTCTTTTTTGTTTCAGATAAATAAGTGATATTTCATAAATTTTGGCATAATACTCAGGAGAAAATACTCTAAATTGGACTTGTTTCAAGTATCACTTTGCTTCAACTATATTATTATTTGCTAGATCTGGTGCAACGGCCCACGACTTTGCTGGGAAACGGCCTAAAGCAATGATTTATAATTTGTCGCACACTACAAACGTATTTAGTTGATACTGTGGTTCACATTGCTGTGAAAGTTGCAGTTCATTAGCTTATTGGGTTTTAAAAAATGAGGTAGCTGCTTGTGATATCTTGGAAACTATTTATTATAGAAAAAAAAAATTGAATATTTGAAGTTAGCCTAAAAATGTACATTCAGCAAGATCTGTTGTATTGAAGAAGTTTGTGACAAAAAAAAAAGTTTTGTGCCTCGTCTCTCCTTATAAGGCAAAGGAAAACGTAACTGGATCGGTGCAGAAGGTGACCAACCATATTCTCTGCAAGATTAAGGAACTTGTGTGCACCCCAGGTGCTTGATGGAGCACAACACCACGTCAACCTATGATGGCAAACAACTGTGCAAGCTTTTAAGTTTTGGATATACATATTTCAGTTTTTTACCACTGCTGCATGTTGCATCTTGACCCAGGAAACAAAGAAAGCTCATGATATGGTATGGTTAAGTAGCCCACTTTACTGGCACAACATGAACAACAAAGACGCGACACTCTACACTTGTTAATGTTGTCCCTGTAAAGTACGCTACATAACCATACGATATAATGATCAGTCGCCAACTAGCTCAGCTTTCAACCTTACTGAACAAAACCAGCTAGTATTTCACGTCTCGGGGCATAGGGTGTAGACAATTTTCTTATCGTTTGGCCACCGTTGGCTGAACGTCTGCGGCCAACTTAGGTTTGCCAGCAGAAAAATATCATTCGTAGTGTGAGCTGAAGTTATCGATGGGTCTCGCCGTGCTCTTCAACCTCGCTTTGACTGTTGTTTCTCAGTCATCAAGCGTTCTGAACATCATTTTACAATCTGTTTTGGGACGTTAAACCCGACATATCAATCAATCAATCATTTTACAACCTGGCGTTATGGGCATGAAGACTGTCATCATTAAATGTATCAAGCCGGCACCCATCTGACAAGCTCCATCTGATTTTTCGGGGGTAAAGCTCCTTATAGTCTGGCGACCTGGTGACGTAGTCATGCGTAACCGAGAGTAGAAGAGACGAGAAAGAAAAGAAGGCAACATAAATGGATGACCATTTTTCGTCTCATTTCCTAGATGGCGTTACTCTGCCGAAGTCCCGCTACTCTTCGATTGGCTGCTGCGCGCACTTTGCCAACAAGTGCCTCTTTCACTGTCTCCTGGATAGTCGCCGTACGTGGTGGGTCGTTGGTGGAGCATGGATGGAGCATAGAGGCGGGCGCGTTGACGTTTGCGCTCGGCGTCTTTGGCTCGCGTCTCGACGGTGTTACCCGCGCGCCGTTTGCATAGTGCTCGAACGAGTGCCTCTCTCAGTCTCTTGGATAGTCGCCGTACGTGGCAGATCGTAGAGGCTCACGGATCTTCGAGCCGCGACACAGAAACGCCATCGGGAGTATCATCTAATCTGCGATTAAAAGCGGTGTTCCAGCTGGTGGAGGGGCTATTGCTAAGCAGGTGACGTGGGCGATGGTATGGACGTTGCTGGTCATTTCAATCGCGGATGCTCGGCAATTGCAGACGCAAGTTGGCGATTTAAGCTACGAGACATTTTACCGTTTCTCGAAGGGAATCTGCTTTTGAAATCGGAGTGGTTTGGGCAGCGTTTATGACTGGTGGACCAACGGCGATTGGCAACCAATTGGTTGCCAATCAGGGCCCCACTTTGTGCCATCATTGGTTAGCCGACAACAGCGGTGACCGAGCCCTGCCCACTTTTTTACCAACCATCGGCCGTCGGCCGATTTCACTTGGGATGAGACACCGTGGCAAGCGGCGTCCGCCTAGTTTTAAGCTGTATCTTCATTGAAAGGACCTCCCTGCCCTCCCTCCTTCATTGAAAGAAAAAGCTAGCGGTTTTCTTGGCGATGGTATGAAACGAACAGATGAGCGTGACACTCCAAATGCATTCGATATTTATTTATTTATTCAGATACCTACAGCGCCCACTGAGAATTATTCAAGAGGGAAAAAAAAGAATACATTACAGGTGGTATGCAACATCCAGAGCTAACAAGAACAGCAATACGTTTAATATTACAGATGACATGACACATATACATCTTGAACAGATCACTTGAAAAAAGTATATTGATGCAAACAAAGAGTAGTACATTACAGTATAATTACAAAAGGCTAAGGAAATTTTAATGCCATGCATGCAGGTGACGCGATACCTATTGAGCAAGAATTCAGCTAGGGCACAGCCAAATGAATTAACTGATTGGTGACACGACAACCTCCTCCAGTAGGCTGTTTCAATCATGGCATGTTCTTGGGAAAAGCAATAAGTGCGTATACGTTAATGCGACAGCTATATCCTCTGACTTGCCAAGAATGATCGCGACGTGCCGACAACAAGAGTATGTGTTTCCTTCTTTACAAGCAGTCCTGTCGGATATTAAGGATGATTTCCCATTTTTTATGACCAGATTCTGCAGCAGCTTGCCTTTATTTCTTCCAAGGTTCGTGTTTTGAACTTCCGGTCTATCATTACACGGCTGTTGCATTTCCTCCGTTCTCATAAACGCAGAAAATGACGTCATCATGAAGTCACTACAAAATCACATAAAGACTTTATCACACGGTATCGTCGCTTTGTCAAACGTGCGCCGGTCACGGAGGCAGTGCTAAAGGCGCACAAAGCTTTCGCAAATGAAGGATCAATACATCGGCTGAAACGAACGAGAAGATGCATTGCTTTCGAGTCGTCCTGGCGGGTGCACGTGGGACCGTTTGAGTTGGTTTACCAGCTGTTAAAGCTGGCAGCAAAATGTCCGTTAACAAACAAGCCAAAATCCCTCGCTGCGCCGTTGCTATAGCAACCGCTACATCTGCGCAACCACCTGCTTACAAGATAACCGAGGTTCAATAAAATTTCTCGAGCTTAATTGGTACATAATAATGAAGGTGAAAACTTCAGCAGAAAACCAACGCAGACCGCAAAATGTTAAAGAGATGAACACTGACGCTCACTATTGGCCGCGAGATCGAGTAGTGTCGCCGCCTGGCAGCAACTGGCCGAAACGGGGAAGTGTGGATTACTCCTTGCGTCGTCTGCTAGCCACGTACGTCGTGTTTCTATGTGCGCGTACGTCGTGCACGTTCTCGAAGGGTGGTTTGTCTGGTCATGTCAGTGCGAGTGTGACTGTTTCTACGTATGCCTGAAACGACGTACGAAAGCATTTGGTCTTGCTAGGCTTCTAATGCATTGTAATGAGATGGGTGAGTGCGAATTTCCATAATGCTGCTTATTGTCGTCGTACCCTCCATTCACAACAATGATTTCAGAGGGGATGCCGTTTTCTGCTTCAAGCACGTTTCAAAATGCTCTTTGCATCCCCCCCAAACACGAGGACTATTAACTGCTGTGTGAATGCAACGTTTCATAGCAATTCGGTTGTCAAAAAAAAAAAAATTGCCCGCAGCTTCCCTCGGGGGAACACTGAGGAGGATGCGGAGCATATAATTGGTTAACGGGGTGTTAAAGTGCGACTTACTTGGGTCGATGGCTAAATTGGTTAACGTGGTTGTGAAATGGGGTGTTAAATTGCGACTTACTTGGGTCGATGGCTAAATTGGTTAACGTGGTTGTAGGAGGGGGTGTTAAATGAGTGAACACGTACACACGTATGCGAAAGGGCGGCGCTAGTCGAAGGGACGTCGATCATTGTGTTTGTGGATTCGTTGGAATTCATTTCACCGTGACCTTGGACGTCGACGTGCCGTACAAACCAACCGACGAGCGGCAACTGAGCGAGCGAGCGCCGACCTTGAGTATATATACAGCTCGACGGCGCATGCACTGTCAGCTGTTGAATGTTCTCGAAGCGCGACGCCACATGCGCGTCCACTGGAGAATCAGGAGAATTGTAGATGTCGAACGCGGTGTGTAGAGGAGGAAGGGTGCACAGATGGTGGAGGAGTGAAGCGCGCGCGGTGTGTAGAGGAGGAAGGGATGCACAGATGGTGGAAGAGTGGGCGACGGCGCGACGGCGCATGCGCGCGCGTCAGCTGTCGAATGTTCGAGAAGCGGTGCGGACGGCGCGGACGGCGCGGACGGCGCACTACAAGGCGCGAGTATAAGATACTTCCGCATCTAAAAAAAAAACACACACACAGGCTCTAGGCCATGCACTAGCGCGCTGTTGGTAGGTGTAAAACTACGGTACTGTAGTTTATCGATCATGCGAGGAGCCTTAGTTGTGTTTATCTGGCCCTTCTACCACCACATAGAAATATTACTATCACATAAACTGTGAGACTTCGGTACTTGCACTGTACTTAATTAAGACAGAGTTACGAT